GGTGTTAACATACCCCCCACAGTCAGGTCTCTCCCCTGTCAAAACCCAGACCACCTCTACCAGATCCCCATCTGTGCCACATTTTATCTCATTGCATCCTATCCCTTCCCTGACATATAGAGCTATGTCCCCTCCCCTCTTTCCCTTCCTGTCTTTTCTAAACAGGTGAAACCCCTCTATGTTTATATTCCAGTCTTGACTTTCATCCCATCAAGTGTCCATAATCCCCACTAGGTCATAACCTCCTATTCCCAGGAGAGCTTCAAGCTCTTCCTGCTTATTACCCATGCTCCTAGCATTGGTGTACATGCATCTCAGCTCCTTCCCACAGATCTCTTTCTTTGGGATCCCCCACCTCCTTCTTCCATCTTCCCTTCCTTGTAGGAGTCCTACCAGCCCCTGCAGTACCTCTAACGCCCTGGTCCCAAAACCCTGGTCATGACAATTTGGGACCAGGCTTCCTGCAAGCCTGTCTATACTCATACAAGGCTTCCCAAGTTTACTCCTTATTTGCTGTACTTTTGCTCACAGGTTGAAAGCTTAAAAAATCCAAGCAGACTTCTGGTGTATAAACAGGTCTGTTGATATAGAGGGTGTTTTTATTTTGTTATTGTTGTGTTTATAACTGTGTTTTAGTGCATATATTTTATTATTAATCAAGTTTTATTTCTGGCTGTAAGCTACTTTGAGTATCATTTTCCTTTGTCAGACAGGCAGGGCAAAAATAAAATCTACTTCATAAATAAATGCAGTGTTCACATCATATGGGCCATGATTGTTGGCATGTGCGCAACTAGTATAGCGTCAGCAGGCCCTGCTGGGTCCACATCACCAACTCTGCTTTGCCTAATTCCTTGCCTCCCAGCACCGAGCCTCATAAACATGCTTCACACACACCCATGCCACTAAACCACAGCTGTGGCTGCTGACCGGCTATGGGAGAAGCCAGAGGCCACCCTTGCACACTGTTGTATTTGGCAGATTCCCTTTAGAGCAAAGGGGAAATCCAAGATTGCAGGAGGCACTGCCAGGCATCCTGCCTTTCCCTCTGTCTATGACAAAAGCAGCTGCCCCTTTAGAAGGGTCTGTTGCACCCAGCAATCTTGGTATGATGTTGCAGAGCAGGCAGTCTTTTGGGACTATGTGCACATTTCATAATTTGAGATGCTGCCCTGGGCATCACCACAAAATGACAGTCCTGGCAAAGGACAAGTAATTGACCAGACATGTAGTCTGATCCCCAGCACACGAAACAGCACCTTTGAACCTTCAGTTTTCAGCACCAAGAAAAACCTATTTCACAGCAATTTTCAACTGGCAGTAAGAAAATGTAGGGACTGGTCCTGCTTCTCTAAAAATGCAGCAGTCCAAGATGAAGGTTTCAGACTCTGAAGATGAACTGGAAGAACAGGCTGGGCCAGAATGGTGAGCTGAAATGCCAAGATTCACAAGCTTCAATGTACGCCAAGTGGCTGGTGAAAATCCAATGTTTCTGGTTCAGGTGGGAGACACTGGAACAGGGATGATCAGAAGGAGAGCAGTGCGACTTTATGAGCCCAGTGGTTCAACATCAAGTCAAATGAGCTGGCCAATTAAGTATTGTCCTGCATCGCAACTGTCTGGCCCACAAGCAGCATGAACCACCCTGAAAGGTTGGGGGAGAGAAGTACCAATTCACAATAGAAAATGTGTTTTAAAAGAGGGAGTAATTGGGCACATTCTAGGCTGCAAAAGGTTTATGTGGTAGGTGCATTGTCACCTACCATATTGCCATTCCCTTACTATTATATGCTCCTCAAAAGGCTGATTGGATGGGGATTCTGCCAAAGTTTTGCATTGTGATTGTTCATTCTGGGTTTCTCAAGTGCATGGTGGAGGAGAGATGCATTTGTAATTCATAGTGATAGTTTGGAAAACTTCTTCACAGCAATTCTGTTCAAGGGCTGGAAGAAAAGGCACACTGAAATCCATCCACTGTTCCCTACCCCTGTCCCCAGTTCAGAAAAATGCAGTGAGCTGAAATAGGAGAGACATGCCTACAGAGACTGCCTTCAGCATGTAATGTAGCAGTGGGCAGTTTTCAGGAACAGTGTAATTATTTTAAACTGTTTTCTGTTCTTAAACACATAACCCACATGATCAAAATACACATACGTTCTGCTTTTATTTCATTAAAATAGAGCATCATTTGAATGGCAATTGTCTCCAATACTGTATTTTATTTCTATACTGTTGTTTCTCCAAAGTATACATTTTACTCACAACAGTCCTATAAAGCTTAGAGAGATGTGAGATTGCCTCATACCACCTGTGATGTTCTTGATCAACTTTATTCTGATTTTTCCTCCCTTATCCTATGAGTAATGGGCAGGAATCTTGACTTGATGTGAAAGCCATGATTTCTGCAAAATTACAATCTTGAAATGGAATGGGGGAGGAAGATGATCAAATAAGGCTGTAGCAGATGCTGCAATGGTTTCAGTTTTTATCCAGAGCTGCTAGAGTTGCCCCTAGGACTGCTTCCTGCCTTTGGGAAAAAAGGGTCAAGTCTGTTTGCCTTTGTTGCTCCCAGCAGCACAAGGTAAAACCTGAAGCCATTACTCCACCTGTATCTGCAGTTAATATCTACAGCTGCTGGAAGAAGTAATCCAGAGGTTTCAATTCAGGTGCATCCAGTATACTGATGACTTCCAGCTCTATGGTTGTTGGTTAGGGGAAAGCCTTACTTGGGATTTTGGATTGAGCAAGATCACATTATCACAGAAAGTTCTATTTTCTAGCTTGGGTTATCCCTGGATCCTTCTGGTCACAGAGATGGCAAAGAGTGCACTTGAACAATTGTATTCAGTTGTACCATCTGTGACCTTTCCTGAGTTGGACTGATTTGGCAGAAGTTAGCCATACCTTGTCATATCATATATGGCTGTTATAGCATACTCTACAGGATGTAGAGTGTCTGGAAGGTTAAATTAATGCAAAACATAAGCTCCTAGGCTGCTAACCAGTGCCTTTTATCAAGGACATACTATTCCAGTACTGAAAGATTTGTGTTGGTTCCCAAATGTTTTTCAGGTGAAAGTCAAGTTGTTGGTTTTAACTTTGGAAGTCCCAAATGGCTTAGGGCTAGGCCATCTTTAGAGCCACCTGTCTCACTATAAACCTGTCCACTTAATAAAATCTGCAAGACAAGCTGTTTTGAGGATGCCATCACTCACAGAGGCCCACTTCCTCCTGTGTTGCACCCAAACTCCAGAATAAATACCCCTTGAAATTATCATTAGTCATTTGATACAATCAGTTGTCTCTTTGATTTTAGTAAAGGTGTCAAGATACCTTTAATTTCTCCTTTTACTTGCTTTAGTGGGTTTTCTTGTTGAAGGGTTTCTTGTTGTTTTCAATGCTTGCTTTAAAATGTCATGTACCACCATAGGTGGTAGAAAATACTTGAAAATAAAAAACAGTGATTTGGACTTGCACAGATACTGTCATTTAAGTAAGGTTGTGCAATCTTTGCTGGATACAAAGTAGTGGTTTGACTTTTCACTGCAGAATAAACTTCCAGTGATCTAAGAAACAATCCTATGCAAGTATAGGAAAAAGAGTATGGTGGAAGTTGTAAAATATACAGATGGATCTGATGAATGAAAACTAAGCTACATATAGGGGTATGAAGATCAGACTAGAATCCAGCTCTCTTGTACTCACCAGACCTTTTCCATTTTCAGCCTTGGCCAGGAGGTGACTCAGGCTCAGATCAAGACCATGAACTTGGCTAGCAGTTTATTTGCACAAAGTATGCAGAACCCATAAGTCATTTGTGTAGAAGCAGAACTCCACTTAAACTCACTTCCTGCTGAATGCCCCAGCAAATGCTCAGCAAGTGGTAGTTTTGGAGTGGAAAGAAAGTGGGCCAGAGTCCAGTGAGCTGAGTTGAAGAAATCCAACGGATCCCTACCCAAAACCCAGTTTCCTCATACATTGCTAGCTACATATTAGAGTTGCTATGGGGTGCTGCTAAAAGCAGCATCCCTCTGATGGCTTCTTCTACTCAGTCCTGTAACACATAGGAGTGTTCAACATATGTTGTAGCTGCATCATTGCGAATGTTCCCACCTCATATCATTGGCTGTTTGTGGTACAGACAGATAAACTTTACCCATATTGCTGTAGAAAAAGTTAGACATGACCTTACTTTTGGGAGATGATGCTTTTTTGGGGCAGCATCCTCATAGAAGATGTAATAAAATTCCACTCAGATCTAAGGTACCAGTCCTACATAAGTATATGTGGAAGTAATTCCTATTGATACCAGCAACAGTGCTGGTTATGTTGTGCCTTTGGGTAAAACATAATTGGTGGGTTTCCTTTCTTTAGTAGGCCCATCAGCTCCACACTCTCTGCCATCTCCTTACTCATCATTGAAAGGGCTGTAACTTCCTGCTTCTTCCTCCCCACTACAAGCAAGAAAACTGTGGTTACTTGTCCTCCTTACTCATTCTTCCCAGTCATCACTCACTTGTCTTCTTGAGCCAAAGGAAGAAGGCAGGTGAGTGAGTAAACATCAATGGCAAGTAGAAGCTTTAGCAGCCAGAAGGCTTTTAGAGATGAACCCCTTGACAAGCCATAGGTGTTGTTTCCAGCCATGCCAACACTCAGTATCAGCCATACTGTACTAGGTTTACTTTCAGATAAAAATGCATAGACTCTGCAAGACTCTGTAAAATTAAAATAATTAGACTCATGCTGTTTGAGGAATGCTAGGAGTTGTAGGAGATTCTCCTCTCTAAACATGCATAGGATTGCACCATTTCTTAAATTATTTTGTTACTTGTAAGCCACATAGGAAGGCCTTTGGCAGTTATAAGCGGCATGTAAATATATAAATAAATAAACAATCTGCAGTAAATTACTTATTTTGCATCTTGCTAATATTAAACCCTGCTTGTACATTACCATCTGATCCACATTGCTAATAGTTCTTAACCTCTGAACTATTTTAGATCTGAAGGCATGGTCCAATGTCATGGAGATCCTGGAAGAAAGGGATGGAGTTGACACAGAACTTCTGGTTTATGCAATGACTTTAGTAAATAAGGTTTGTTTCATTTATTTATTTATTTATTTATTTTATTTGCTTGAAGATCACCCATTAACATTTTGCTGTCTGGGTGACCATTACAATAAAAATACCAATAAGTAACATAAATAAAATAGTATTAAAATCATAATAAATAAATAAGATAAAATAATATATAAATAATCAAGTAGCAGATAAAACATAATATATTAAAACCAGTGCAAATTAATATAAAGCTAATCTAAAAAGTTGTTATTCTATCTGCTTAGAGTGTGGGGAGTCAGTTTACATTAGAGACTCAGAATCTCTGGCCCTTTGGGGTTCTCCAAAAGACTGTGTACCCATTTTCCAACCACAGATGGCTTGATGGTTTCCTGGCTTTTGTACAATTCTTTTCCATTTTAAAGATGGAACTGCCTCTTGCAAGTCTTAGTTAGTGGCAGCAAGAGCTTTAAACTACACTACACTGGTATTTTTGTTTTGGTTTTTTGTTTTATCTTCCCTCTTTGTGCTATACCTCTAGCAGCAAGGAAATGTGGTCTCCAAGGGGTTCTCCAAAATGGAGTTTGGCCCTCTAATGAGGCCTCTGCAATCCCTTGGGAGCCTATTCCATACCCTAGGGGTCCTAAACATCAGGAAGTATTTCTTGACATCCAGCCTGAAGCGTGGTTGCTTGAGCTTCATCCCATTGGAACATGTCCTGTCCTCCACTGCAGAGAAGAACAGGTCACGGCCTTCCTCCACATGACAGCCCCACACATACCTATGAATCACTAAAAGATCCCCTTGGAGTCTCCCCTTCTGCAGGCTGAAAAGATCCAGTTCCTTCAATCTGTCCCCATATGTCATCCCTCCCAACCAAGCTACCATTCTTGTGACCCTGCACTGAACCAAATCTAACCTGGCTATGTCTCTCCTATAATGTGGAGCCCAGAACTGGAAACAATACTCCAGTTGTGGGCAGACCAGAGTCGTGCAGAGCAGTATCAATACTTCCCTACACCTGGAAGCCACACTTCTGACTATAAATCCAAGAGTAGCATTTTCCTTCTTAACTGCCATGTCACATGTTCTGCCTGCTGTCAACAAATACCCCAAGATCCCTTTCACAAGTGCTGCTCTCCAGTCACTTGTCCCCCATCCTGTACCTGTGACACCTATTCCAGTGTCCCAAGTGCAAGACCTTGCACTTACCCACATTGAATACAATCCTGTTGTCTGCTGCCCACTTCCACAGTCTATCCAGATCCTTCTGGATCTGGAGTACCTGCTCCCCAGTCGTGGCTACTGCCCTCACTTTGATATCACCCACAAATTTAGTCAGCAGACTGGTTATCCTCTCCTCTGGTCACTGATAAAAAGGTTGAACAGAATCAGTCTCAGAACTGAGCCCTGGGAGAATCTGCTTGTCACCAGCTGCCATCCTGATGATTCCCCACTGATAGTCATTGATAGTCATAGTGAAGTTACACCATCACACTCAGATGACTGTCCAGTTCCATGAATGCCTCTAGTGCAGGAGAGCCCACAACCTCCCTATGTAATTGGTTCCATTCTCATACTGCTCAAATGGTCAGTAATTTTTTCCTATTATCCGGCCAGAATCTAGCTTCATGTAAATTAAGTCTGTTATTACACGTCCTGTACTCAGGAATGGTTGGAGAGAAATCTTGTCCTTCTTCTTTATGACAGCCTTTCAAGTACTTGTAGAGTGCTATCATTTCACCCCTCAGTCTTCTCATCTCAAGGCTGAACATGCCCAGCTTTCTCAATCTTGCTTCACAGTGCTTTGTTTCCAGTTCTTCTGTTTGTTTCCAGATCATTCTTTTTGCCCTCCTCTGAACCCTTCCCAGTTTGTCTGCATCTTTTTTAAATTGCAGTGCCCAGAAATGAACACCATACTCCAGATGAGCCCTAACCAGTGCTGAATGATTAATGCAGCTTAAAGGGGCATTTGCTGTTTTTGCAGCCACATCATGTTGTTGCCTAATATTCAGCATGTGTTCTACCACAATTCAAAATCCTTCTCATTTGCAATATCGTTCAGCCAAATATCTCTGTCTTGTAATTATGCATTTGGTTTCTTTTTCCTACGTGCAGAACTTGACATTTGTCCATACTGAATTTCATTCTATTTTTTTCCTTCAGTGCTTCAACCTATCAAGATCACCTTCCATCTTATTTCTGTCTCCCAGAGTATTAGCTATTCCACCCAGTTTTGAGTCATTTGCAAATCTGATTATCATTCCCTGCACTTCCTCATAAAAATCATTAATACAGATGTCGAAGTGCACTGGGCCCAGGACTGAACCCTGTGGCACCCCCTTGTTAGGTTGAGAAGGTGCCATTGATAACCACTCTCTGAGTCCAGTTTTTTAGCCAGTTGTGGACTCACCTAATAGTTGTTTTATCTAGCCCACTTTTTGCTAGTTTACTAATCAGGATGTCATGGGGCACCGTGTCAAAAGTTTTGCTAAAATCTAGATATCCACAGCATTCCTTCATTTCATCAGGGAGGTTACCCAGTCAAAACCTGAAATTAGAATGGTCTAGCAGGATTTATTCTTGAGAAATCCCTGTTGGCTTTTAGTAATCACTGTATCATCTTCAAGGTATTTGCAGACTAATTGTCTTATAATGTGCTCTAGAATTTTTCTAGATTGGTCTGTAGTTCCCAGCTTCATCTTTTCCTTTCTTGAAGATGGGGACAACATTAGCCCTTCTCCAGTCATCAGGCACTTTCCCTGCCCTGGATGATTTCTTGAAGATAATAGTGCCTCTGAGAGATCTTCCACCAGCTAATTTATGACTCTAGGGTGGAGTTCATGGGACCATGGAGATTTGAATTCATTTAGCCCAACTAGATTATCATTGGCCATTTTCCTATCAATCTTAAGCTTCCATCCTGTTCCTTCTGCTTGTACTTACCCTATGTCAGAAAAGGTTGTAGATCTTTTGGGAGGAAACTGAGCCAAAAGTAAGAGTTAAGCACTTTTGCCTTTTCTTTGCCATCTGTAATCATTTTGCCATCCATGTTGAGTAGTTGATCTCCCTTCTCTTTCATCTGTCTTTCACATTAGACATATCTGAAGAAGGCTTTCTTGTTGATTTTAGCAACCCTCTCTAGCCTCAGTTCATTCCTAGCTTTAGCCTTCCTCATGCTGTCCCTTCAATTCTGTGCTGCCTGTGTATATTCTTCCTTTTTAGCCTGGCCTTCCTCCCACTTCCTTTACATGTTCTTTTTTGTTCTCAAATTATCTCTTAGCTTTTTGTGAAGTCACATGGACTTTCACTGCTGCCTTCTCCACTTTTACCTTGTTGGAATTGTTTGTAGTTGTGCCTTTCAAAATTCTGTTTTTAAGGTTTCCCACTCTTCTTGGACTCCTTTTCCCTTTAGAGTGTCTTGCTGTGGGACTTTGCTTATCACTGTTCTGAGTTTAAGTTTGCTTTCTTGAAATCCAGGGCACATTTTTGGCTACTTTTGGCTTTTGCTTCCTTTATAGTTGAGAATTCAAGTACGGCATGGTGCGACTGTATTAAGAGGGAGGGGCACACTAAAGACACCGTGTTCCCTTACTGCCATTATAAAACACTCCAGGAAGCAAGTTCACTCACCAGGCCTCTTTACTGCTGTTTAACAACTTCGTTCATGGCTGTGCTGCCCGAAGTGCCAAAGCCCTTGCCTGCTCCAGCCCTTTCTCCTTCCCTATCTATGGCAACAAGCAGTGTCACCCCTAGAGTGATAGGGAGCTGTGTGTCTTGGTCGCAGGGTTTCCCCTCGTTGTTCCCCTCCAGCTGTCTGCGAGCAGTGGCAAAGCCAGCCCATCACAATCTACATGTGCGTTTCTTCCTCGGTCCCTCTCCTCCATCTCTCTCTGTTTCTCTCTCCGCCCCACTCCCTTCCTTGGCTTCGTATTTATATCTTCCTTCCACACACCACTCCACCCAACCCAGCTGTTCCTTCATCGGCCAACAATTATGTACAGCTGCACACCCACCTACATGTCCCAGCCATTGGAGTCCCATGAGTCGTTCTGCCTAAGCAGATTCCCAGCCATGCCCTGTTGCTCCGTTGAATGCCCCAGGAAAATGGATGAGCCCCTCTACTTCCTCACACATGGTCACTTTCTCCCTGTAGTTGCTACTTTGTCCACTAGGTCTTCTTTGTTGATTATTATTAATTCAAGGATAGCTGTTCCTTTTGTTCTTTCATCTACTTTCAGACTTTGAGGACTATTAGACTGAAGACCAAGGTAACTGATATTTTCTGGAGATTGACTTGGTCCACAATTATTCCTACAAGTGGGTACTTTTAAGAAGTGGACTACCAGAAAATTCCATTCCCATTCTGAGAATAAAAGAGTCTGTTGTTCTTGGTGCATGTTTAAGGGTCAAGGTGGAATTGATGGTGAGGTGGTGGGATGGTGAAGCCTGGGAAACGAGCTTTGCAGGCACAGAGATGACAGAGGAGGAAGAGCTTACCTCAAGACTGCTCCCTCCAGGTGTTCAGGCAGACTCTGGGATCCAACAGGATCTAGAAGTGCTAGGAGAAGACATGGGAAAGGAGCCAGAGGAACCTGGTCTGATCCTTGATCCCATAACACAGAGTTAGGGGAGAAGGGCTAGCCGGCTAGAGGGCCTGTGTACACCTAGAAGTCTTGCCTATGTCACAAGAGTCACTTCCAGAGGGGTGGGGCCGAGGTTTACTCAAAAAGAGGATTCTCAGAAATAGTTTCTTGTTTGGGTTCCACAAACTGCTGTGTGCATGCTCAGAGACTTTATTTGCTGGCTGTAGCTTGCTGGATATACATAAGAAATAAAGAGTTTTGCCAAACAACTTTCTGTTTTTTGAAAGAGAGAAGAGAGGAACCTAGCTTCCTACAGTTACCATTCTTACTGTGTATTTGCCTCTGAAGGAGCCAGCTGGTAGTTTGTTTGGTTTTTCTTTGCGGGGGGGATGTTATGATCCTGTAGCCTCCAGTTACTGACCCTTGGTTTATATGAAACAAAGCTTGTATTCTACAACTTGTATCCTAAGTAATTGCCTAGGATTTTGGTCATACCATGTTATATTTTGTTAAGCAAATAAAGCAAGAGGCACAGCCTTCATTACATAAATCATGTGGTCTAATATAGGCATAATGGAGATAAAACTAGTCATAATCAGAGTCAGCTATTACAGTTTCTAGAACATAAGAACACTGTTGATTTCTATTTTTGAAAAAAGGTTACTGACTGTAATGAACTTAACAGATCAGAGTGTGAATGGTTTCTTCCGCTTTGAAAGAAGTTAAGGAAAAATATCTCAACTTTGTTTTCCTGTTTAGCTCTCTCAAGTATCCAATATTTACTAATTATTTCATTGTGAAAGGGAAACAAATAACCCTGAAACAACCTTGAATACATTAACATATTCCTAAGAGAAAACTAATAGTGAAGCAACCATAAGAAAATATTTAGGAAGCAGTCTTCCACATGAAATGGAACCGTTAAATACAGGAATGTATTTCCAGAACTAAATACCTATATTCAGGCAGGAAGATATGAGACCTTATTTACCCCTCTTGTATGCAAGCCTTAATATGGTGAGGGGGTTGGAGAGTGTCAGAGAAGCCAGACTCTCACTGCACTGCTCTCCTAGCAGCATCAATCAAGGTTGAATGATCAAAGTGGAGACACCAGACTAAGATGCAAGAGCAGCAGCAGGAGTTGGTGACACTGCTGGAGGATCTTTCACAGACAACACACCACAGTGAAGCTCAAGCTAACTCTGATTAGCAGTGTGCAGATGAAGGCAATGGTAAACCACTTCGGAATATTTCTTACCTTGAAAACTTATGAAGAAACATACCCAGATGAAATGAGAGATAGTGCTGGAAGATGAGACTCCCAGGTTGGAAGGTACTCAGTCAGTGACTGGGGAAGAGTAAAGACCAGTTCTAGACAGCATTATCACTAATAATGCAACCTGTTCAAAGCTAAAAGGAAGTTTAGTGATCAACATGCTCACAGAGGTGAAAAGAAAATTTGATGCCGTGCAATCCATATAACTGGAACATGAAAAGTGAGAAGTATGAATCAAGGCAAACTGGAAATTGAAATGCAAAATATGGAATAGTTAAATATTGCAGTACTTAGTGTGATAGACTTGAACGGGGCATTTTCAGTCAGACAAACACAATGGCTAGGTTCACACAACATGGCAGAGAACCCTGCATGGTTTCCATGTTGTGCAGATTTTTCCCCAAACTTAGTGGTCAAGATGATCATATAGTTCCTGCAGTCCCCACTCCATTCTCCTGGCCTTGCCATGCATCTTAGCAGCCCCAGTAAGTAGAATCCCATCTCCCAGTCTCCCATTGTTGCTCACACTTGCATTAAAGGATTTGTAAATTTCTGTGTCACACTGTATTGAATCTTACTTTGGACTTTCCTTCCTTCCCTGATCCCAGAATTTCCTATTCACCTAAATTTAATTTGTTTCAGAACAAAAGGATTGAAATCCTTTTTGCCTTTCAGACATTGGCCAGCTTGCCAGACCAGGATTCCTTCTATGACATTGTTGACTGTCTGGAAGAGTTGGGGATTGAAACTATTTCCCAGAGACACTTGAACAAGAAAGGAGCAGATCTGGACTTAGTAGAACAGTTCAACATTTATGAGGTAAAGGAACATGTCCTGTTCCAGGCACTGCACAGCCTGAATGTACTTCAAAGCTGAGGTTGCAAGGGAAATTTATCAAGAGTAATATTGGCTTATTTATTTTTACTTTAAAAGTGAACATCTGGTTATATTGCATACATTCAGGCATATGGTACTATAGGGTAGTTAATAGTACAATGCAACTCATGCTAAGACACAATAATACCAAAGGGTTTAAAAATATATTTATTTGGCTCTTTCGATGTATGCTATTCTGCAGTTAAACTTTTTAACACTGAGTTTCACATCCAATGTGAATAAAAGTTATTTCTAGCACTCACAAAAGTTCAGCTTAGAAATGATCCACATGCATTCTTATGAAATTGCATTACATCAGTTCTTATGCTCTTGGAGCAGCTGAATATAGAAGAAACCACATTTACCAACTTAAGATGACCAACATTTAAAGCAGGGATCTCAAAGTCAACTTACCTGGGGGCTGCTGGAAGTAGAGTCTGGGTGAGGCTGGGCCGCATCAAGTATTCCACCACCACGGTGGTGGTGGGCCGCTCATCCCACGACCGGCCTGGGCGCCGCCGGTGCTTTGAAGGCCTCAGGGCCCCTCTCCCGTGCCCCGCCCATCCCGACAATTGGCCTGCGGGCCGCGAGTTTGAGACCCCTGATTAACCAATGGGTACAGCATTTGGGATGCAGAATATGCATTTATTCAGTTTTATCCCCCATGCTATTCAACATCTACATGCTACCACTGAAGGCGGTTATCTGGAAATGTGGACTGAGATGTCATCAATATGTCAGTAACACTCAGCTCTGTGTCTCCTATTCACCCAACCCAGGTGAGGCAGTGGTGCCTGAGCAGGATAATGGCCTAGATATGGGCCAACAAATTGAAACGCTATCTATACAAGATGGAGGTATCATTAGCAGATAGCTTGTATATCTGGTTGAATTGTGTTCAAACCTCCACTGGAAAAGGGTTGCAATTCCCATGAAAGATCAGGCTCACTGCTTGGGGATGTTCCTGGATTGCTCACTGTCAGTTGAATCTCAGAGAGCCTTGTTGGCCTGAGGGTGATCAGCTTAGGCTGATATAACAGTTGTGGACAGAGATAGCCAGGAAGCAGTTACCTTTGCTTTGGTAACTTCCCAGTTAGATTACTACAATGTGTTGTATGTGGTACTACTGCACTCCCAAACTGAAGTTAGTTCAGAATATTGCTGCTCGGTTAATAACTGGGACTGACTGATTCAGCAATGCGTTGCCAGTGCTTTGTCAGAGTATTGGTGTTAACTTTAAAGTCGGTGTGACATGGTGGTTAGAGGATTGGATTGGGGACCTGAGAGATCTGGGTTCTAGTCTCAACTTGGTCAGGAAGTTCACTTCAGGCCAGTCACTCACACTGAAAGTGGTGTGGAGGAAAACTAAATAAACTGCCTTGGGTTCCTTGCAAGAAGAGAAAAGATGGAATATAAATACAATGGAAGAAGAAGAAAGAATGGTCTTGGGATCACAGAATTTAAAGGTACAACTCTCCTTGAATGTATGTGCTGGGGCATCTTATCTTTGACGTGGATCTTTTTCCCAGACATTTTGGAGGTCTACTTCTAGGTTATTATGGCTGCTCTATTAATCCCTGTACTGATTATTTTTTCACACAACATTGTTTATTATTCATTTAAATATTTTATTTTCAATTTTAATATGGCATTTTAGTTTTTAACTGATTTTAATCCACTAAGGCAGACCTGGGCATTGTACGGCCCGCGGGCCACATCCGGCCCGATGGCTGACCCTGACTGGCCCACATGAGGTCACTGGCAAATTAAAAGTCAATGCAAATATATATTGTCGTAATATAGATGCTTACTATGTTAAGCACTGGGAGATTACATATGTTGTAAATTTGCACTATATAAGTAAAATTGAATTGAATTTATTGCTTTTCATGTAATGTTAATGTTAATGTTTTTGTGAATATTCATTAAATAGTGTTGTTCTGTGCTCCACATTTTCATTGCATCATTGTAATGTTTCATTTACTGTTTTTATAGGGATATATATTGAGCAGAGCTGTAAGTGTATTGGTCTGGCCCTTAACAACTGTCAAAGTTTCTCATGTGGCTCCATAGGAAAATTAGTTGCCCACCCCTGCACTAAGGGATCATTTGTTATTGGGCGAATTAGAAATGTACCAAATAAGTTAGCATTCAGGCTTTTAGAAGTAGCTTGTTGGAATTGGCTGAATGGTGAATACTTTTTTATAGTCCAGTGCCCAATTATGATGTCAGAAACTGTCTAGGAACTATAGGATTCTTCACTAAATAGCTAAAGTGCAGAGTTCTTTGCTAATGCCACTAAAATAGCCTATAGTAGCAAATCCTGTTCTGTAAAACAATAAGATATATTCTTCTGCCTTCCAAAGTTCCTAAAGTAGCTTAACCTTCAAGTTGTTGGGGTGGAAGGAACAGATAGCGCCAATGAGATGGATCTCACATAAGATTAGTACAGGAACTGCAAAGCATTAGCTATTGTGTTCACAGGTTTCCCTTCCATCTCTTTGCAGATGACACTGAGACACGAGGATGGGGATGACAATGGTGAACCTCTTCCTAGTGGCCGCAAAGACAGAAGAAGAGCCAGTCTTGGCTGCAATGAATGGAGAGGACTGGAACGTAGAAGAAGCCGGAGACATTCCGTTCAGAGTTTCAAGAGCACTTTATCAGCTCCTACCAGTCCCTGCACTCAATTGAGCCACAACTTCATGTGTGGCCATGGGCAGGGCACCACAGATCTAAGTGAAAAGTGAGTGCAAGGAATAGGAAATGTTACTTGATTTTCATTTTTTTTATGCCTTTCCATTTCATTCCTATAATTCCTTGCCTTGTTCCCCAAACTCTAACTCTACTCTACTCTGCCTAAAATGAAAATTCTGTTAAATCATACAGGGTGGGGCATAAAGATCTCCCACATTTTGAAGGGGTATAAAAAGTGAACAAAGCTATCTAGAAAAAACTTGCACATATTTTTGAAAAGTACATAAAAGCAGTTTTGTTTTAATGGGTTTTAAAAATCTTATCAAACAGATGGTGGCCATTGTTGGCAATACATTGCTGAAGACATTTCTGGAAGTTCTCCATCATTCTCTGGGTAATCTCAGGTGGAATTGTGTCGATTTCCTGTTTTATCCTTTCCTTCAAGTCCTCAAGAGATTGAGGACAATATTTGAAAACATTTTCCTTTAGGTATCCCCAAAGGAAAAATTCACATGGACTTAAATCTGGTGATTGTGCCGGCCACCCCATGTCTCCCCTTAAAGAGATCAAACCCCCAGGGAATATTTTCCCTCAACACCCCAAGCAATTGTCATGCTGTGTGAGCTGTGGCTCCGTTCTGTTGAAACCATACATGTTCTGCATCCATATCGTCCAGTTTGGGGCCCAGAAAGGTCTCCAACATTTCAACGTACCACTTGGAGGTCCCAGTTACTGTTGCACCACCTTCCTCAAAAAAGTATGGACCAATCACACCAAAGCTGGCAACTGCAAATCAGTTATGCGAGGAAAGTGGAGTGGTCGTTTATGGAGTTCACTAGGGTTATGTTTAGCCCAGTAGCAAGAATTCTGCTTGTTTACGGCTCCACTGATACAGAAGTGAGCCTCTTCGCTACTCAGAAGAACAGCTGTAGTGGAAACCTGTTCAAGAATTTCCGCACTTAGGGCTCTGCAGTTGGCATGATCTCACTCACTTGAGACAACATCATTTTGTAAGATGCAGTTTTAAATCGGCATGCAGAATCCTCCTCAAACTCTGACTTGTTAGCCCCAATGCCATGTCATGCTTATGAGTAGAATGCCTTGGCAATTGCAGAATGGATGCTCTTACTGCTTCCACATTTTCTGGCATTCTAATGGTCCTAGGTCTGCCAAGTGTTTTTCTCTTCATTGTGGATCCAGTTGCCCAAAGGTTAGAAATCCATAGCAAAATCATTTTCCAATCTGCTACAGATGCATTTCAACCAAGACTGAAGCTCTCTGCATCGCTATCACAGAACGGCTGTTCTCATAATATGCCTGAACAACAAAGCCTCGATGTTCACCGGTCCAACTCATGATGGGTACTGAAAACGGTAGAGCCTAACCTACCAAATGAGACCTACCTCACCTCTCTACACCCACTACAGGCCACATAGTGCCCCATCAAAATGTGGGAGATCTATGCCCCAGCCTGTACATTCAGACACAGTTTAGAGGATGGTTTTGTTTTTGACAGAGCATAAAACATTGGCCATGTGAATACAGATGCAGGCTGAATTTGCTCTTTACCTGAGCATGGGTCTAGGTGCCATATCTTAGGCCAGGAGTGGGGCTAGCATTTGTGTAAAAGTTGTGCTATGTTAGGTGCATTTGAATGAGGTGAATGTGAAACTTGGCTTTTTTGAAGGCAAATTCAGGTATTGTTTCATAAAGAGAGATAGCAAAGAATGAACCAATTCTGAACATTTATTGACATGTTTAGAATTTGCCACACAATCAAAAATTATCAAGGCAGAGAGATATGAGGTACTCTAAGACCCCGTAGCCTTAGAGAAAGCCTAGTAAGATTCTCATGCATATGTGCAGAACTATTGTGCTGGGGATCTGTTTTCAAGAGACAGACAAATTGTACTGAATATGTGGTCAAACTTCCTTCTTCTTGAAAAATAGGTAGCATATCAAGAGCTGCAGTATTTAGACTAGGAGAGTGGCATTCCAGTGAAAAAGAAAATCATGGTTGAAGCAAGTAATCTTGGAAGGAAATAAAAATGTTACCTATCGTGAATTTTAAAACCATTTTGTTTGATGAAAAGTGTTCCATTTTCTGTTTATTCACTTGTAAGGAGTTAGGGAAGGCTATTTTTCCATGTTCAGTGCAATGTAGATAAATCTAATATTAAAAGGATGAAAAATGGGAACTCAGTATGAAAAAGTACCTAACAGCAAAATCCCATAAATGTATCATTTTTCAAAATATTAAACCTGGCAAATGTTTTAGAACCTTCATTTGTAGATATATAGCCTCATCTTGCTTGGTGGAATCAGGAATATATACAGGGGCTCTTGAACATGTTGAACAATTATTTCAACACAATAATTTAAAGAATCTGAACTGAAGAGGTAGTAAGACCATTATCTGTTTTTGTTGGTGTTGTGTTGTTTGAGTTGGTCTTTAGTCGGAGCCAGTTTATTCAAAACTGTTCGATAAACCTGTGAACAGAAAAAAAATATTTATTTTGTTCATGTTGGAGCCTCAAAGAACCATTTGCCAAAAATGTCCTTGCACTTCAGCTCAGATACTAGACAGAAGCTCACCTGGGCTAATTTTCTTAAGCCTTGGATGATCTTCTGCATTGACTATAATGGGGAAATCAGGAAAGGCCTGTAACTATTTTTATTTTGGAAGAGAACTAAATTAAATGGTCAGTTAATAGCTCTTTTGTGGGTGGGGGATGATGACTGCCAGATTTGAGGGAAATAGGCATAAGTAATTTTGTGCTAAGCTTTATGTTTAAAAAGTGGCGAGATCATATTTTACACATACACATTTTATTTTTTATTTATTTATTTATTTATTTTTCGATTTATATCCTGCCTTTTTCTGACAAAGGGCTCAAGGCAGCTTACATCATTCTCCTCCTCCATCTTATCCCCACAACAACAACCTGTGAGGTAGGTTGGGCTGAGAGTCTGTGACTGGCCCAAAGTCACCCAGTTGGCTCCATGGCTGAGCGGGGACTCGAACCCAGATCGTCTGAGTCCCAGTCCCATGCTCTTAACCACTACGCCACACTGGCTCTCTGTGAACATATGGTTTACAACTTAAGGGTAGTCCTAGGTAAGTTCCAGGTAAAGTTTCAGAAGTATAGCTGCATAGATAATATCAATATCTGAGCTTTTAAAATATCTATCTATCTACCTATCTAAAGCATTTCCATCCCATCCTATATAAAAGTCTCAGATTATTATTCTTCATGGTCTCTGTGCATCATGCATATGGGCTTCCACACTTGTGCAAGATCTAGACTGGGAAAACCTTCAGTAGCTCACTGTGCCAGAGTGGGTGGGAGCCCCTCCCCTTCTGGTTCCTGTGTAAATAGGGGAGGGGTTCCCACCCAGTTTCTTTTTGACCACCATCACATAGACTGGGAATCCTTTGCTCCGTCACTATCCACTAAGTACCTCATCTTTTTACTGCTAAATTCCACACAAGACTTTTCTTGTGCCTTTTCCCACTAACTGACTCACACTTCACTCTGTTGTACAAATCCCACCTCCACAAAATATACTTTCTACCCACCTTTTCTCTCAGCCTTCATGTTCCCACCCCTTTGCCCCACCGCTCTGCCAATTTCCCACCTGCACGATGAAATTTCCACAGCTGCAGCACCTGCAACAGATGGTCATTCCTTGTGCCTCCTCTGCCTCAGCAAGGAGCACATAGTTGAAACCAGCATCCTCTGCCAGGCCTTTAAAAAGCAGACATGCTGGTAGTGGGCTGATTGGCCGAAGACCAAGCTCTGGAAGAGGGCCTTCTGAGTAGCCGACTCATCCAAGCAAGAGCTGTAGCACCCCTCTACCTCCAAGAGCTGTGGTGCCCCAAGACCTGAGAAAGGGACTAAGAAAATGGTTGCCACTCCATCCAAGAAGAGGTGTCATGTGAACCCTGTTCACCAGCTTCGCCAACTGCTGGTCCCCCAGTCCCCAGCAGCTGTCCAACATCCCCACAGCCAAAGGTTCAACTCACCAAGGCCACCGCTGACACCAGGAAGCAATCGTCCAGTTGTTGTGCTTGCCCTAGGTCCAGGGACACACCCCCTGCTCATGAGTCACTGCCCCCACCCTGAACCTCCTGGCAGAGCACTTCAACCCCACCGAGAAGCCTCATGACCAAGCAACTACCAATTCTGCTCTCAGAACATGGATCAGGCTCTAGGGGACACCGGGAAATCTCCCACTCTTCCCTCTTATACTGGAAATGAGACACCCAATGGTCTCCAACCTCCAGCTACCTGGAAGAGCTACTGAACTATTTGGACCACTCAGAGGAGCCAGCCGCTGAGACCCATTGAGGAGATGAGCAAGACACTGGCTTCTCCAAGGGGACCTCAACATCAACTGATGTGGAGACCAGTCCAGCACCCAGTGACGTCAAAACCAGTCTGATGCTGACTGATGCCAGGGAGACACAACCACTCACTGCCGCCAATCCCCCAATGCCAACACCTGACACTGACTCTGCTCGATGTCAAGCTGATGCCAAGACCTGATGCTGGAGCCTGATCCACACCAACACCAAGACCCCAATGTCAAGACCTCACCAATATTACTACCTACAAAGTCGATCCTCTTTCTCTGATGCCACTTTATGTTGAGCCAACACCTGCACCCACATCAAAAGCCCCTACCGACGCCCATGATGCTGACAGCACACCCCTTGATGTTGAGACCGCAACCACTATCAGCTATACCTCGACCAGCTGCTCATGGCTCTGCACTGTACCTGTTGACATTGTGCTGCTCACCGTCCAGGTGCCAACAATCACCTTCTACACCACCTATGCACTGGCCAGACTTTGTCCTTTTCCCAGTCCCCTCAAAGCCATCTCATGATGATGTGGTCTTCAAGCAGGACTCAGCATTGTCATCAGAGAAGAAGGGTCAATTCGATAACATGGTGCTACACATGGCAGGTGACCTGGGACTCCAGACAATGCAACCAACAAAGCTGGAGGCTGACCCTGTCTTTGACACACTTGGCTTTGAGGC